GGCGCGCGTGGCGCGCACGAGGCCCATGCGGCTGGCGGCGCGCAGCACTCTCTCTAAGTACTCGCGGTGGGCGCCTGTGGCCTCCGCCAGCTGTGCGCCGGTCATGGGGCCGTTCTTGGCCAGCAGGTCTGGCACCCCCAGCTCGTTTACCACCATCACCACCTGTGCGTGGCAACAGAAACGTGTTATTTGGGAGCCTGCTGGAGATCGGCGAGCAACAGGGGCCTTGAGTGGCGGGCAGCTGCGGCCCGACTGGGCCGGTTGCGCGCCTCGGCAGCTGCTTTGCCGGCGCGCGTGCCGCGCCTCGCTGCAACTCTTCAGTCGCAACAGGTCGCAAGGTCCTCTCTGCTGCCTGCGCGTGGGTCGCTCCTGCGTGTGCCCTCAGCCGCCGGTGCGCGTGCCGTGCAGGCACGCTCAGTATTGGCCCCTGATGCAAATCGCGCCCCCCCCCCCACCTGACTGCGGAAGTAGCCGTAAGCCATGTCGCACACGCGCTGGGGCGCCGGCAGCACATAGTTGCCGAGAAGCTCCTGTACCCTGAACAGCAGGCCCCCAATGTGCCAGAACAGCCAGGGCGCCTTGAGCGCGGCGTTCCAGTCGTCAAAGTACTGACTGCGCCGCCGCGCGATCGCCAGCGTCGGCGTTGTCAGCAGGCCAATCACCCCCAGCAGCAGGCTAGAAATTATGATATAGACTAACCCTATCGCGAACAACGCGTCTGGTATTTCCATTGCTGCTGGGCGTGGACCACCCTTTCAAAAAATAACCAACTCAAGACCGGGCGTCGGGCTGCAGAGAGTGGCCAAGCTTTACGTTCAGGTATTGTGACGCCGATGTGTTGTCTCGCTGTCACTTAAACTTTGCGCACAACCAAAGAATTCGGATTTTTCAGATCAATAGTGGCAAGCATAAAGCACTGAGCAGGCACTGAAATAGGCCGCGGCATTTGCGCCATTACGGTACACACAATGATATCATGAGGTATACATCCCCACATCGACGTTGCTCGTACTATGAAGGACGTTCTTTTGGGCCCATGAGTAAGCATAACCCCTGCAAATGGGGGCCTGGGCTCATCGTGCCAGTGTGCGGCTGAAGACTTGCGGACTCGTGCCAAAGCTCACACGAGTGCAATGTTGCGTCTCATGCAGCCCCCAGGTGATCCATCTAACACCTGCAGGTGCATGCCGCGCAGCCAGGGCTGGTTGGCTCGCGCGGGAGCGTATGCCCAGTGGATTACCGTATCAGGCTTTGCAACTCATTGCATACTTGGTTTGTTTGGGGACCGTCTTCATCCGCAGCAGTTGTTGTGACAGACTTCTCAGACCTCTGCACGCTTTCGCAAGCGGTGCACGGGTGGCAGACAGGGCGTCGCCTGCTCGCCGCCCCGAGTCAGCCAACCTGACATGTGGTGCACCTGACGTGTGACTGGCCAACACCCCCATCCGAAGACTCATATTTTGGACGTTTGTGACGTAGCTATGTCCATAAATTGGCAAAAGTTTCACCCTGGGTTTTCCAGGTGACCTGCGTGCAGCTGCCCGGCCGGGGGGCAGTCATGGGCCTGGGAAAACCCCTTTCAGCCCGGCCCTGACCAGCCCAGCAGTGCTGCCAAGGGTTTGGTGGATCGCACCAGATCTGCCAGACACCCCCGACGTATGCAGGCGCGCAGGCCAGTTACTTGGCCAAGCCGCTGCAATGGCCGTGGCGGGGTTCCAAACGCGGAAGAAGTCAACAGCACGAAATGACAGTTGCCCATATGATGGGGAAGGGGGCAGGGCAGGTGTTGCACTGCCGGTAATTTTGAAGACCACCACACCCAGCCTGAAAAACCACCAGGCAGCGAAACCCTGGCGCGTGTCGGCCATGTGAAGGCCCAAAAAACGACAACAAAAGGCGACACCACAACACCGTGAACAAACCCCACGCCAGCCGGAAGCCATGCCAAGAGCGAATCGCCGCATGCCGCCGCCGCCGCGCGACCCCCGCCCTCTGCGTCAGAGGTAGAGTGAGGCGGCGAACACGATGTCTCTCCGTATGCTGGCCTGGGCCTCCAGGAAGAGCGCCTTGAGGCGGCCGTCCCCCACCTCTGCCGCGGCGTCGGCCAGCTGAGTCAGCAGCTCGTCCAGGCGGCGCGTGGCGCGGATGATGGAGCCCTCATAGAGCTCGGTCAGGGTGCAGATCTGGGGGGGGGGGTTGTGGTGTGGGGTGGGGT